CTACCTTGTCGTGCAGTCATAGAAAATCACGAGTACGAACACAAAAGCAACACGAAAGCAAAAGGCAATACAGCAGCGTCAGCTGCGCTCAGTTAACGATCTTAGAATAATATTTGACTGATTATAACTGGCTATGCACCCAGCATGTAATTATGATAAGAGCCATAATGTACTCTATACTGTATTCCAGTGTACGATAATATTATTAATCAAAATGGAAATGTGCATGTGTTTATAATTCAAATCTAACTATTACATAATTGTTATAGACAAGGGAGATGTTAAAAACAGAAATAGTATAAACAATGTTCCCATTCCGTTGGTAATTTATTAACGATCTCTGGAATAAAAATTTTTTCATATTTTCTCGTGTGAGAAATATCTTCGCGTTTTCGCAGATCGATCTCTCAATATATTTCTACCGTTAAAAAAAAAATTGAATTTGAAATATCTCAAATATCTATCTTTCAAATTTGGCCATAATAATGACGCGACTCTTTTTATAATGTTTGCATTTGCGCAATCATAAATTTGTTATGCTTAGAAAAATCTTGCGCAAACGAATCTGCGAGGGTAGATTCATTCGAGAGTACATGAAAATTGCGTCACCATTAATTCGCTAGGAGCTACGAGGTGGCTTGCTTGCTATCTCGAGCGGAAGAGTGCTTCTTCCTTATGCCAATCGGCATTGACTGCTAGTATTCCGGGGAAATGGGTCAGACTGAAGAGCAACAGCCGGCAATCCGGGGAATGCGTTTATCTTTATCGCGACAATTTATCACCATAAATTCAAAAGGGTGCGAGAAAATAGCGTGACTTTTTTTTGCGAGGACGGGGTAACGCGCGTTACTCTAAATGGCACGGAATTCAGTTAAGCGAATCGTGAACTTCTTGGAATACTTCGAATTAGTCGCCCGGCACGTCAGGCCCACATCGGCACGCAGGACATTGAAACGGAACATTATATATCGCGTTGCTCGACGCGCGATACGATCGGCATGCGATGTTTGTTGGACGATATCAACTGGGAATTTGAATTGCATGTTGAAATTTTCAAAAATTTTAGCAATATTTATTTAGAGGAACATTTTTATTTCCACGAAGAAGAATGATTTGAGCAATTAGAATTTAAAATTATTTATTAGAATTTGAAATATTATTTATTAAAATATAAGGGGGAATTATTAAACTCTAAATCTGACAATCCTCGTTTGTGTGTATGTGTTTTTGGTTATAAATTTTTTAAAATTCTCCAATAATTGCCTTAAATATTTCTGAAAACTTATTACATTTGGAGAAATAGCAAACAAAAAATGATTGGTTGTATAGTCTAATAATTCTTGTACTTTTGTTTATCAGCAAAATTGCGAAATGTGTTTATAATCAGAATTAATCGAATCGGCACGATGCGGGAATATGTTAGGAGGTCCTTTGTTGGAATTCGCGAAATGTTCGTAAATCAACTCGGCTATGTCCTGTCGGACCTATCGTGCCAGGACGACGGGGGGTTCGCGGCACGCCACGCGGGATAGGCCTGATCTATTAACTCAGAAATATATAAGATCACGGAAGCATATCACGGAGAGTTGCGGAAAGTTATGCGATAGCGGCCGCTCACGAAGGTGCATACGGCCTCCGAGTGAAGTTAAATTACACGGTGGATCTCCTCGACTTTTACGTCGGTGATGGCGGCGGCGGAGTGAGGGGAGGGAGGGCTATGAGAATTCTTTTATGTGCGAATTATATGAGACTCGGCGATATCGCCGCCGGTTGGCTTTTACGTGATCACGTGAATTGAACGTGGATAGAGATTCCTATCGGGCAGTTGATTTCTTGTGTAACGTTCGTTATAAACATTTTTATAAATGCAGACTGTTTGGCTAAGAGATAGCATTCATTTCTCTGTTGCGAGACACAAAATGCGTCTCACTCCACGAACGCGATCGGATTACGAAGGATTTGCAATTTATAGACGTTAAATTAATTCGATTCGTCTCATTATTATTTATTCATAATACTTCCTTATTTATATAAGCCATATAAAAAATTTATTATTCGCATGAAATTAGACTTTTTTATTGGTGGACTTAAACATATAATTAAAATAAAGATAATTTAGTGTAAATAATGACGTATGAAATGATATACATTAAAGGTCTATTATATTGATAACGAATATACTATCTTTATTATAAATATATATACAATAGTATTTTTCAATATTTTTTACATATGTTTGCACCGAGTTATTCTTATTTTAATTCAATGTTTAAGTATAATTATGAAAGTTTTTATAACAAACTCTCTTCTTCATCTGCATTAGAAATTCATTTATCATTATACATTTTATGTCTCTGAAGCTTCACTTATTGAATTAGATTGGATCGAGTATTATTATACACAAATACGTCTCTCTTTTTTCGTGCTGAACATCGTGCCATAATATCGCTCCTATCGACGTGCAATTTAGTTCGTATGGCCCATCACCTCTCGGGCTTGAATTTGCTTTTCGGAATAGCCCTCTGTGATGGCACGATACTTCAGGGGACTAATTAATATTTAATGGCACAATATTGTCGCATAATCGGCTCAGCTATATTGCATAAGGCATTACCGTAACAACGTGGCCTAAAACCGCGATTCGATATCGCTAGGCATGGTTGATGGACCCCGATGCGCCCGACATTTCTTCACCTGATGAATAAGTTCATTCTTGATTGCTCGCCATGCGCTATTACGCTTGACAAGCGCGCATTTCGCAACCGTCGTCTTTAATTTTACATCACGTAACTTTATATAACGTGATGTCAAATATGAAGCTCCATTATTTACGACATTCTCAAATGCCGAGAGTACTTGCTATGTAAACGAGCCGAGTAAAGATATATTCTTCATCGAACAGAACTCCATCGCGATATTACGTCTTGCTGTTATTTTTACTAAACGTTTAAGTAAAACGGTCTTGAGTCTTCAGCTTTTTTTCGAGTTTGATTAATTTGCGATTGAAATTTTTTTTTTTGCGCGAATAATTTACTTGCATTTTTTTCTCAGCCAGAATAGGCTATTCTCTGTGTATTTTGACCATATTATATATAAGTTGTATATAAATTATAGCATTTTCTGTATTTTAAAATTGGTAGAAGCAACGTATCGCATCAATTAATAAATATTTTACTCTGTTTACTTAAAACGCGCAATATCGCAAAATTAATATGTTAACATAACTGCTTCATCAAACAGTCTTGCATAAATAAACGGCGATTCCGCGAGAGCGTTGCGTAACGATTCAATAGACACAGTTTGTTTCTATTTACGCAATAGACATTCTACATCACATGTTTTTGGTCTGCTGGCACGAGAACTTTGCAGGACTTATCTATATCGACGAAATCATTTGGCGCATCTCGAAGTCACGCTTGCACGTATACACCCACTTATCCCGATCCGAGTTTACCTTACCAAGTCTCTAGAGGTAGACTGCAGGATATTACTTTGCCGACTTCGTGATCCTATATCTCCCCCTTCCAGTTCACCAGTATAATTCGCGAGTTCCAGCCCGAAAGGAACGCAAAGCTTCATCTCGTTCCGGACGCGCTGTCAGGGCGGACTGAAGTAGCGGCGCATTTCGCTATCCTGACGTCGGGCATTACATGTCAGGTCGGACGTTACAGATGGGTAATTAAAGTGTTACAACCTACCTCCCGTCAAGTGCTTAGCACTGGTGGAATGCACCGTTGTTTACTGTAACGAGGGTCATCCTTTCTTTTCACGCATAATTCAAGAGTCTTATTAGCGAGCTACTTGAACTCGATCGATGTTAGAGCAAAATTAAATATTCAAGATTCTTATTGATTATCTTAATTATAATAATTTCCGAGAGCCATTTTAATAAATTATAATAAATTTATAAATTAAAAATTATTAGATTTTTGTTGCGTGGTTTAAAATTAAATTCCATTCAATATATTCTTATTTTGTGATATATACTTCTTAGATATTATCTTTCCAGATATTGTAACGGTAAATACAATCATCTTCAGTTAAAGGCTTACATAGAATTAACAGATAGATTGACAGATTATTATGAATAATTTCCTTTATTCGCAGACACCTCGCGTTATTTCTGGTTACGAAGATACTAAACGGCACGCGAAACGGTAGATGTATGCGCATCAGTCAGGAGTCATGACGTGCAGCGGCAACAAGCGTACAATTACTCGAAGAAACAAGGAGGTGTTTCGGTCTATCGGGCGTAAAATACGAGGGCAAGTTTAAAGAGAAGCGGCAGCGACCGTCTCGATTAGAGTGAAACGCCGCGCAAATAAACGGTCGAATTATACATTGTTAAACGACAGACAGACCTGAAACGGTTGCGGCGATGGTGGTTTATTTTTTGAAGGTAGTTCTCTTACGGAGAGGAAGAAAGAGCACCTTGAATAAAACATATTTACCGGCGGGCATGCCCCAGAGTCTCTCGACTCATCCCTTCGCTTCATATAGTCTCTTTCTTTCTACATCTTCTTCTCTCTTCGCTTTCTCTTTTTTTATCTGCCCTGACATTGTGCTGACGTTAAAAAATCTATTCATTTTTAGCGTGCGAGATCATATGGAACACGTCATATAGTAGGATAGGATCCATGATACGTTAGCGATAATAAGGTAAACACGTTTTGAGAAACTTCTCTAATGAAGTTTACTGTCGCAAGCGGGGAAGCCAAATGCCTGAAAGTGTCATAGTAGCCAAGAGATTATTGTGCCGCATACTTAACGCAATTTTCTTTATAAGCAGGGAAACTCGAACTTCCTCGAACGTGAAATTTAATTAAACCATCAAAATATTCCGATGTAACATATATTTATAAATCGATAAATCAACCAAATGTCGATTGATAAATTTAAATTCGTCCTTCTTTTGCATCGAACCGTAGATTTGTCGAAACAATTCATCGCTGACAATAAAATCATAACCCGATTAATTTCTTTTCTCTTTTTTCCCTCAGGTTCTGACAGCAAGTTGTCGGACATTGACGGACAGCCCTACACAACGTTGCTGTACAGCAACGGCCCGGGTTATACACAGCCGCGGACTATCCTGCGGGAGGCTGGGAAGGATTCCATTCAGGTAAGGGAGGCCCATTTTCATTTCCGTACGCGCGGAAGGAAGGTAGTACGCCAGTGTTTATTGGATCGGAGAATGATCGAGTGGCGAAATCGAGGCCGCGCTCGAAAATCCATCACGTACTATCGCTGTATGATCGTGAAATATTCCACCAAACACTTCCGACTGCCCCCTACCATCTATTCCCTCGAGGGTCCTGAAATACCGCGGTTAGATGGTGCGCTGGCAATTTTTAATCTCACCGTAAAATTAAAAGACAGAGTATACATTGCAGGGTATTTGAGTTAAATTTAATTTACAACATTATATATATGCACAAAATTCAGTTAATATTATTTAGCTAATTCTATATATTTAATTACTCGAAAGAAGGGATTGCGAGTATATACATTTTGTGAACTTTATTGATAGTCACTTTTCTGATAGAATTGATTTTGTAATTTTTCTAATTTCTGCGGAGAGAGATATATATATAAAAGTCACTTTTTTTAATGAAAAATTTTGAATGGAAATGAATAATTTACGAAGAGAAATTGTGCAAGCGGGATACAAGACATTTTTATAAAAAAATTTAATATATGTCATTTGGTTTATTTATTTTTATGTGCTGTATTTTATTTCTAACTTGCATATTTTTTATCTATATTTATGTATATACTGACATTTCTACCTGCACATTTCCGTCGTCGTTATTGATTTAATCTTTTTCACTGAAAATAGCTTTATGCGGATTTGTATTTATTCTTTCGATTGTACCATGTCACGCGGACGTGTTCTCCGCAGGTATTTTCGTACATCGCGTATTTACATAAAGATTTAAATTTATATTAATCTGTAAACGAAAATATTTTGCCGCGTATTTTAACAGCTATCCGCAATTTCAATCATATAGTTTTATTCCATTCTGTATTTACAATCTATCGAAGTGGCAGAGGTATCCGGTATATTTATACTACGGATATTATTTGACATCACTGACAATGTGAGTTACGTCGCGAAACGGGGGGTAGATCATTCCGTGCTTTTATTCGCGCATCGCTTTACATTATCACGCTGAACACGTATGTGCAATAATTTAGTCTTCGACGTATGGATTCAAATAAATTTGACGTACAAATCCTATGCGCGTTGTATATAATTATGGTACTTTACTTAAACATGATATGCCATATGCATCACTAAAAGATTAATATCAATTAATCTTGATTAATAGAAAGCATCATGTGACGTATAAATACAAAATGTACAAAATATATCAAAAGCACAAATTCCCTTTTTTATAGTGAATTTTATTTTACAGTTATTTAACATTGTAGATTAGGATGGTATAGATAAATCGCTAAATCTTATTTCTTAATTCAATTTGTAATAATTTTGCTAAAAGTTTTATTGTCAAGATATTTGGAATGAATTTTTTTTTTTCTTAATTAACGCTATCAAAGTATTTATAATTAAACGTATCATACATTCTTATATATTTTCTGTACACACACATACACACAATTGAGTTTATTATCTGTTATTATAGTATCCGCGATATTAAAAATCTGTCTCGTCGGGATTACAAAGTAGCAATTCGCGCAATCTTCTCGGTCACGGTGCTCGAAATGCATAGAAAAAATTCGTTCTGAAGTTATAAGAATATCATCTGTGATGGTGACTCTTGAGCATGATTTTATTCAATTCCTCGAAATGTCCCGTCAGAGTGAATCGTCATAAGCGGTAAGTGGCCGGGGAAGAAACTGATTAAAATCTGGATGGCTTAGGGCGATAAATTACGTCGACCTTTCTCTCTCTTCGCTCACCAACCATCGTTACAGATTACAAGTGTGGAGCTTGGGATATTTAGTCCCTTTATGTGAAATTGAAGCGCGATAATCGTAACAGTCGAGCATTACAAAAGCTCCAAGAATTATGTATTTTTATGACGGAAAAAGTTTTGTGAATAAAATAGTGGCCTAAATTAGGTGACCTAAATTAAGTTGCCAAATTTTGCTAAAAATTGTGCTGCAGCATCATTAAATAATATAAATTAATTGCATCGTTTGAATGTATTTTTATTCAGCTTTCCATAAGAGAAATTTATATAAAATAATTTTGCAAATTATTTTATAAAAAAATTATTTGACACTCTTCGAGAATATGTTATAAATTTTTTTTTATATTTTTTTATTGTATTTAAATATCTTAAAAAATAATAGTAATAAATATGTAAGAAAGCATAAAATATCTCTACAGTTGAATATTTGAAAAAATAAGAGAAAAATCAATAATCTTAAGAAACGTTTTACTTATCATTCAAAAGTACTATATGTACTTAAAATGATTAGAATAATAGGGTAATCCGCAAAGATGTCTTTATTATAAATCATGTTTTTACGAATCGTTTTACATGTCGTATTTGGGAAATAAGTTTCGCTATAAGCTGCTTGCCTTACCGATTACATTTGTTATATAATGCAAGAATTCGATTCGTAGTTCGGACTAGAAAGATGCTTAGGGTAGTATAATACTGCTACGACAGTATCGTGCAGCTCCTGTCTCCTACTCGGTTGCATTTCCCCGAACTATTATGTAAAGGCAAATTCTCTCTCGCATAAATCGATATTTCGTGAAACAAGAAGCGGTCGTATTTTACATTGTGAGATTACTTTCATTTTACGAGAATGTGATTTACACGGTGAATGTCAGATATGCATTAAGCCCGTAAATCTGGATCTACGGAGTGGTATTAGCAACGAATCTCATGACCATAATATGAAGTAAACACGGTAAACGTGCACGCGACGATGGTAAACAGCGACCTAATTCCAAATCGAAATTGTTTATCTCGAGAATATATAAGTAGCTCAATATCATCGTTTATTTCTGTAAACTTCACTTAAACGAATTGATGACAAAAATTTGAAATAGCGATAAGAGAACATGAAAGACACAATTGTAATAATGATATTTGCAAGAGTTTAATTTATGTGTGAAAATTGTTCTAATTTAAGAGCCGAAGAAATTTGATCAAAGAAACAAAATGAAATTTAATATAATACGCGAGATGTTCCAGAATCGGCAGAATTAACGACTCGATATTTTCGTTGACGAAAAAGATTTCAAGATTTGCAAAAGAGAACAATACGATGTATCTACGCTAATTCCGAAGCATTCTGCATAATAGTCACTATGTGCGGTGTAAATCAGAATATATTTACTTTATAAGAGAGTTCTAAAAAATTCCAATGGCACATTTTATGTACCGACATGATACAATAAAAAGCAGATAAAGCACGTTATTACCCACCTCGATGATTTATGTTCGTAATTACACGCTAGGAGTTAATGCTTGAGATATCCGGGACGAATTAAATATCGTGCCGAGCTGATATCGAGCTATTTAGTGGACGTCGACTCTTTCCATTCGCGCGAATTAATAAGGATTCAGCTTCAGCTTCAATAATTCGCCAGTTTGCATTTTTTTCTTCCTCGCATTATATTATTATATATCCTTGCGTCTCCTTGAAAATAGTACAAATCTATTCGGTTGCGCATCACCAACTTCGCTCGACTCTGTATAAAATATCCGTCTCTCGCAGATATTTTAAAGCAGCCCTCTTCGCGTTCGTTGACGGGAGTTTTTGCTTTCTTATTTTTTATCAACGTCCAACATTCATCTTGTGATAAAGACAAGAAACGTGAGATGAAACATAATGTAAGATTTCAAAGAACATTATTTTATCATTTTCTTTTTCGAAAAATGTAAAAGTTATAAATTTTATGCGCGGTGATTTGTATTATTACTAAATTAGTGTTTATGTCATCCAAAAGTGCAATAATCGATATCAAAAATATAAATCTAATAAAGTTCTAAAAATTTCCTACAAAACTAGCTCGTAAGCATGTGTGTGTCGGTATATTGCCGCCTTCTTCTGTATTATGGTTAAAATAAATACGTGCGAGATAATGGCAAATTAAGTAGCCAGTAATAATTTGCCGCAACGTTAAACGTTCCTTGAGAGTAAGTCTAACGACTATCATCATTATTGCTTTTATATCTGATTTTCTCTTGTTTGTTTCAGTATATGAGTGAGCATTTGGTAGATTTTGTTGCCGGAAATAAAGTTGCGCGAAGAACGTCTCGCTCCTCGCGAAATCTCTAGCTTTCGCGTTATCCGATAGAATCACCGAGCTTACGATGTACCACGATGGTAGATAACGTTAACCTCTTACGATATTTAACGCTCCTCTCCGACGGGGATTGTAATTCCTTAAGACACCATCTCCCAGTTACGTCTTGTCTCGACGTAACCCACCCAGTAAGGATGTTGCCTTACGCAATCATTGCCGCTGGCGGGATCTCTCTCAGGGGATGCGTGGCGGACGCGCCAGAACGGCAACATTCGGGGATACAAGGACGCCGGCGGGATTTTTATTTGCTTATTTGGAACACGACTATTCGCCGTGTTTTAGTATTATTGCCTTGCAACTATCTTGCGGAAAAGATTCTCTCGACAAAGAGAGAGAAAAGAAGAGAGAGAGAAAGTCGCTTTTTTATTTTTATATCTCTGTTATTTGTGTTTTATATACCTATGTATTTATATCTTTACAAGTAGTAACTATAGATAGGGAACATAACTTGACTCTACGCTATTCTCTCGAAAATTCAGTGAATGTAGTGCATTTCTTTGTATCTTTTTGTCGAGAAATATCGGGAGATTTAACGATACTCGAAGAATTTATATTTAGTAAACATTTTTCGTATAAACAATTTGCTTCCGACCTCACCTAAATTTCGCGACATCTAAAAAGAAATAATATATTAAATAAATATTAAATATTAAGAAATATTAAATAATGATATACTTAAATCATGATTTATATTGTTATTTTAACTAGATACAGAAGCATTAATTATAATTGCATTGATTAATATTATCATTGCTTCTATATTTTTTTAGAAAGAAAAAAAGAAAAATATTGTGTTTATTTTACTAGATATTTGACGCGAAATCTGAAGATAAAGCTAATTCTGAAACTCTCTATTCGCGATGCCTATGGACGCGGTTATAGATCGGTTTTAATCAAACTTGACTATACCTTTCTTCGATGACAATTTCGCTCGCGTATTTCGAGTACTTATAAATTTGTACAAAGAAAGTAAATAAGAAAAAGATATAGCATATTTTTTTTATCGCCATCAACTCTAGCCGCGTTCTCTTCATTCGTTGTCTTTCCTAAAGGCATAGATCTCATCGTTCCTACCCTCATTGCGCAAAACCACTTCTCCCTTTCGGGTCGACCGCACCACGAAACGTGCCGTGCTCTTTCATTTGATTGTCGAAGTGAGATCGCAGCAAAGGGTTTACGGTGTCCCCGACGAGAAGGGAAATATTGTGAGAGAATTCTGCTGCAGCAGCGCGTCCCATCTGACCTGTGCAGCGGAGCCGCGGGCTAAATAAAATGCGAAAAAGATCTGCAGTGGCGTAGTCGAAGCTCTCGGTGCTCTCTCACGAAACGGCTATTTCAATTTTATTCTCATTTTAATTTTATCCTTCTTTAATTCTAAATGAGTCGTTTCCGTTAACTCGTCCGAAGCGGTACAATTTCAAAGCAATACGCGTTTCGATGAGATGAGAAAAAACAGTATTTATTCCCAGTCTTTACTTATACTTAAATGACTGCGTGAAAGAAACATAAAAGACAGTATAAATATAGGGAAAATATAAAATTAAGTTAGAATAAATAATCTAATTCAACAAGCAATAATGTGAATATGAATTAATGATATTAAGCAAACTATTTAAACTGGAAATAAACGCTGTTTTCAAATTGAACTATCTATTGCGTATCGTGTATCACTTGTGTTGTAAATTATGCAAAAACAAATTTCCTTACTATTCAGGAAACAATTTTTAATATCTATTTAAACACTGAATGTATGTGAAAACTTCACTTCAAAAAATTCTTCTTATGAAACGATTTAAAAAATTTAAAAACGGACACAGTTAATCAAAGCTTTTCTCGTATGTTTCTTTTTTAAATTGCTAATCGCGCACAATGGGATATTTAATCAAGAGCTTTTCTCGTATGTTTCTTTTTTAATTTGTTAATTACACACAATGGGACGGTCTTTATCGATCTTAATATACTCTGATAAATTTTTTCATTTTATTTTACGAGTTAAATTGTATATACAAAGAAAGAGCATATATTTCTTCATATTTCCAGAAAACTAAATTGATACTTTTATATGCGCGAATTATATGTATGTTTCTGTAACAGTGTGACATTTCTCGCTATAAAGATCACTTATTTCGATATAAATGTAAAATACTATAAGAAGTAGAAAATACTGCCGTTTTATTATCGCTATATTTTATAGGTACAGCCGCAGTTATAAAAGCCTCGATTCATTAAAAAATAATGCTCCGCTACCCAGCAATCTATGGAATAGTACTCCCAGGCGAAAAGGAGAACGGTCTTTAACACTCCTTTAAGACATTTAAGACAACATTTTTTTCCGCAAGTTATTGCGCACATTGGGATATATAGATGTGCTTGTATCTTTAACGAATGTTTTATTGCTCTCATTAGAATAGAAATTCGAGAATTCTCACGCATATTTTTCTTATTTTTCTGTAAAATTCAATATAAATTCAATATCAATATAAATAGAATATAATATAATCTTAATGTAAATATTAATATAAATATTCAATATAAATTAATTAATATTCAATAGAATTTTTTATTTTATTACATTCACTTTCATGCAAGAAGGGAATATAAATATAAATTTTTATCGCTTTCTCATTAAAAATTAAAAATGGTTTGTTTTAATCTAGTAATTGATTGTCCAAGTCGTTATATACCATTTCTATCCATTAAGTACGAATCAACACGACTTTTATCAGTGGTCGCGTGACGTCTAGCATTCTTACCTATTTTTAAGCTTGCGTCTTCCGCAAGCAAGAGATACGCCCCGGAAATCTCGTGCAATCTCCCCCAGCTTTCGATTTAGGTACAATAATCGCACCTTACGACTATATAATTACAGACGGCGGGTGTGCCGAGGGCGTGGGCGACGCACGGGGGCGAGGACGTGCCGGTGTTTGCCATCGGGCCCCTAGCGAGCACCCTGTTCTCCGGCAGCATCGACCAGAGCTACATTCCGCACGCGATCGCCTACGCCGCCTGCCTGGCCCATCATGCTAGCCGTTGCTCACGGGATCCTGCAGGCGGTAATGCCAGCGACACAATGAGCTCCGCACCGATAAGCTGTCCCTCGGCGGAGCCCAACAGCGCGGCGATATCAAGCGACGTGATGAACGGCCACCAGGCGCGAAATCAACCCACGAAATCCGCCGGTCCTCGCTGTTTATCCGCCCCGTTGCTGCTACTGCTGCTGATGCTCATGATGCCCCCCGTTCTGCCGATTTTCCGGTGTCCCTTGAAAAGGACGAGTTAATGCGACCCTCTTCCGCGTGTCCGAGAGTGGCCATCTATGTGACGTCGACGATACACGACAGTCGAGAACCCACCGAAATACTCGCGTCCTGGGCACGGTAATAAACGGTCGATTGAGCGACCGCAGTGTAAATTTGACGGGACGGGAACGGCGATGAGAGTGGCCGTTTTGAGAGCGAGCAGTGTAATATCGTCTCTCGCCGGTGAACCGTTAAACGGATCGTTTGCGCCGGCAACGATCACGCTGCAGAAAATCGCTGAGTGTTGGTGTAAGCGACAGGATATAACGCGTATGAGTTTTTGGTGAAACGGGAACGGAAATCTAATAGGCGAGATTCCTGGCGACGATCCTCTCGTCGTAAAGAGAACGAAAGTGTATCTGCATTCCTCGTAAGACTCGAGTCGGTTGACAAATCGACGACGGATCGGGTGTTCGGACGAACGGATCGATACACGACGTTGACGAGAGCTAAAACGTCATCGTGGTGTGCGTATCATTCCTAAATTCTCTCGTGTATTTTCAGCTTCGGTGTTTCGGAACATGAAAAACGCGACTATTCGTATTATATACTTCACGCAAGTTTAATTGATACACGTTCTTGTTTGAGGTCACCCAAAGATTCTACAAACTTTCCGCTAATGATTAAAGCTTCTTCAATAAAGAGCTTTAATAAGAGATTGGAGGTTGGAAGCGGAGCTTCTTGCTCACTCATATTATTTCAAGATTTTTAAAATATTTATATTTTTTATTTATACTTTCTATATAATTTAAACATATCCATTTTATATTGATTATTAATCACATTTGAAGAAATATTTCTCGTTTATGTTATTTTTTTCTGAAAAATGTAATGCTTACATCAGAAGATTATTAATCATCAATCGACTTTGCGAAATATTTCGAAATTATCGTTACTCTGTAACTATGAATTTTTTAATCAATTTAAAAGCTAATATTTTTTAATAGAAATCAAGGTTTTGTTAAGAGTAGAAAATTCACTTGAAATTAAATGCATCTCCTTTTCGAAAAATAATTATATTATGAAATTTATGAATATTAGTTGAGATTCTTGTTAAATTAAATGATATAACGCTTTTGATTGGCGTTCTTTGTTAAAAGAAGTAAAGCTGATTTCAATCTACAATTAGTTAAGGAATCTGGAAATGAGAAATGATTATCTTGCATATTTCTCTGTCTCTCGAACGTTGAGTTATGTAATTTTTGAAAAATACATCTTCTGCCGTGCGCTAGTATTTGTTACAACACACATAACCGAGTGATAACCGCGGTTTTGCCGATCCCATAAACCGATGGATAAGACGTAATACATAAAATAACTCTCGAATATTTTGGGAGTTTAAAGTAAATCATAAATAAAAATGTAAATATATTAGGAGTAAAGCAGACAATGTGTATAATATCTTGAGACGTGTGTTTCCTCGCATCGAATTATGTAAATTACATATAACATTTAACCACCGAATCGAGACGGACTCTTTGCCCCAGCGCACATTCACATCCCCAATTCTAGTCACGTCTATTTCATTTTTGCACATTGTGCGCAGGGTCATTTCGAATTGGACCAGAAAGTGGTGTTCATAACGTGATTAACGATTTTTGGCAAATTTTATTTTCGCACCGAACGATTGAAAGGAAAGATGACGTAAATGTATTTTTCCGCTTCACGTATATTACGCTATGCTTGACTTATACTACTTTCGTTTCGAGCCTCTCGTAACGCAGATTAGTTTCTAGGAGCAACTTTGTCGCGACAGGATTTGAAATGAGAATTAGAGAGTCGCGCACTGTTTAACTCAATTAGTCAAAACAAACTGTCGCGAATCTCTCAGATTTGTCCGTTTTCGGGCGAATGTATAATTGAACAATCGTCCCCGCTTGTCTTTCGAAGCACATTCGTAATGTACAGCGCTACGCGAGAAAATCGAGATTCGCCGGGGTTTCGGCGCGGGACTCTCATGTATTTGTGACTAGCGCCGAGGGAGTTGCAGTTGCGAGCTGAGAGAGAGTCCCTCTGCCATTCAATCCTCCAGAATTCGTTATCACAAGAAGCGCTCCCAAGTCCGAGTTTTATCTCTACTTTTAATGAGGCGATACGATAATTTTATAGAGCGCTTTGTGCGTGTTTGCGAGCGCGAATGCTATTTGCCTTTTTACGTGCTTAATCGTGGCTTTGACTCACGGCTCCTCTGTAAATTTGCGAGCTAATTGCGCCGAAGGATTGCTTTGTTTTAATTATCTTCCAACTGGCGGATGTTAATGAAGTTAATAAATCATGCGTGAAAAAAATAAAAACATGTACCGTTTATCTTAAATGTGAAAGATATCTTGCAAACGGATAGTCGAAAAATAATATTCGGAATTCAAGTACTTCTGTGTCTACTGTTTCACAGAGATTACATTGTAATTCTTAAGTCTTTTTAATAATACATATGGCTTACACAGTTTAGCACACAATAAATACATAGACGAAATGATTACAATTGATTTATATTATTTTTTTATTGATCTATTCATCAGATTTAATTTATCAGAGTTAAATCCCAAAGTCTACCAAAGATACATATATTGAATTAACAATTTTGTGTAGGATAAATGAATAATATAATATTTTTCGAATTTTACTTTTATTTTATTTTACAATAATACCTACTTATACAATATTGTAATACTTTTATTTTACTTTTATTTCGCTTCCAATTTCATAAATTATAACGTATGCGTTTTCGAAGAAATATGATTCGTTTTCTACACTCGATTATATAATTTTCTGTATTATATTATAGGTATCTCTATAGTAGAATTCGGCAAAAATATTGGCAAAATAATTGCAACGAGTTGCTGTTTTCGTTCCTCCAGCAAACTTGTGTCGGTGAGAAATAGCCAAAATTTTATAACAAAAATAGCACGCGAGCAATATACCTTCGAGCAATATATCACGGAATTTTTTATTTATATATATCCTCCGTCGATCTTGAAATATTGAAATCAGTCCCGAATATTGTAAAAAAATGAAAGCAGTACGTTAATAAACGGCGGTATCGAGATGGCGAGGGGTTTCTTAAAGGTCGATGGGCACTTTGGCAGAGTAAATTCGGTGTACATATTTTCGGAACGAGATGTTTTTATATATCGCGCATAAAAAGTGACGCAACGTAAATCTTTTCGCGCATGCATCGCCTCGGTTTATAGATAAACGCCATAAAATAGTTATACCGTTTAATAGCAACGAATAGCCGAGAATGCGGCCCAGAGGACGAACGGAATTCACATCCGGGACCGACTTGTTATCCTTGACGCGAACGACGAGAGATCCGCGCGACGATTACGCTTTTCATGGCCCAGCCATGGGCTTTAATTGCAGACGCAAACGTGCGCGAAATAAGAAACTATAAGGGACGATATTAAATCGGAGGTTGTGCGTCGTTTATCCGACGAGATCGGCAAACCGACTCCATCGGAATACGAATTGCCGCATTGTTATAAATCATATTTTATACAACCGGTTTGATAAGAGATGGAATGTCATTTTTCCGTGTGAGATAAACTTCTCATAAAATGTCAAGACACGCGCAGTTTAAAAACTCTCAATCTTTAGAAATAGCGCATCAAGAATGCTAGTAACGAAATCTTATTTTTCAATTAATTATGAATGAAATTTACTTTACGAAGATCTTAATTCGTGGTATAGTTTTTGAGATACTTAATGTTTAAATTTTAAAAAGACTATAAACAAAATGTAATAAAATGTAACGTTCAATTATACTTTGGTAAAAAAAAATGATTTCAATTCTCTTAAAAAGATTCGACGCTTTATAAAAATATTAAGACATTTTGTGAAAAGGCTAATTTTGAAAAAATTCTGCCACGTATGTGTAGATATTTGAGATGTTACAAAACTGCTGAAAAATATAAAAATTGCACCATCTATTTACTGTCCGTCATCAAAACACTTTGCTTTTTTCTCGTATATTTCATGAAACTAAATTCTAATTATGAATAAAAAAATAACAACAATTGTTATGTTTCTTGTACATTTTTGCCTTGAATCGATTCCTATCCGAATGCAAGATATAATAACGAGAGTAACGAGAATTTGTCGATCATATGTAAAAATTGAATGCGCAAATATTACGAAGTGATTGTAATAAATGTGAAGGAACAAAATGTTCCAGCAGCAAAATATATTAAGTGGAGCGAAGGTACTTGCGAATTACGTTGCATCTTGTTAAATGCTTCGTACAATTCGACGCTAAATACCTCTGACTCGCATTTGCACCGTTTAAAACTGAAGTAGAAGTTTAATCTAGGAAATTGCTAACAAGTGCGTATTTTAGTTGCCCTTAGTTGCCTCTAGGCAGTGAATTGCGAATTACGAATAATTTAAACTTTAAATCGAGGCAGTGCAGAACCGCACTTGCTGCAAAATTGTCATAATGCGCTACTGTTTTACAAGCTTTTTAACTTATGTATGGAATTATAAAAGATTTCAACAGTGTCCGACAACAAGAATATATTACAATGCATACAGAGAGTTAATCTTTGTGGCATTTAAAAAATATTTTTTTTTGTTTTTGTCTTGCATAAAAATTACAATAATATTTCATTAATATTTAAATACACACACGATATAATAATGACGTTATCAAATTTATAATGATTGCAATGTTAAACGTCCTAACATAAAATATGAATTTAGGATTCTAAAAAATAAGTAAGAATAAGTTCCTCTAGAGATATGCTCCAAAATACTTTGTTTAAGAGATATTGACATCTAAACATTTTGAATATAATGCATGAAATTATTATCAGGTTATAATAAATAAATTAATTGCAACGTTTTAACTATTTTATTACTAAAAAATATAAGAATTTCAAAATAATTATAAATTTTCTTCAATGTAATGGTCTGTAATACGAAGATAATCTTGGCATCTTTTTTGACAGAAAAGCAGTTGGAGAGCTAATTGTTTCACATGCTTGAACTATTCTTCTCGTAAAGAATTAAGCAGCAAGACAGCATTAACATTTCGGATATATCTTATTTGCATTTTTGGACATATCTCTAGCAAAACTGATTTTGAAGTTCTAAGTTAATGTTTTAAGTTGAGACATGTTTTAATTCTGAAACATATAATTACAGTGTGTAAATTTAATTTTCTGATTAATAACGCTCTTATTGCCAATCATTAGCGAGTTTTGATTAATCGGAACGAGAAGTAAACGAAAATGCATCGATGCAACACATAATCCGAAACGTTTATCACAAACATGTGACACGTGGTTCAGCATCCAGGCCGAGCTTACACTTCGCTTAGAGTTTTAACGATTGCGATGAATCACGTGAGACCAAATCACGACAAGGAAACGAGAGATACACGACTTCACCAATCTATATATTTCTGTAAAAAACGTCAAACACGAATTATTACAAATGTAATTTACTATAGATATCTGTATACTATTGTTTTATATAAAAAAGAAGAAACCAAACATAGCGGCTGTTTCATGAGCCTGTTTCTCTTTTCACGAATCCCGCTTCCTTTTCTTGCGTTTTAATCCTAATAAAAAATAAAGACAAATGAACCTAGTTTATAAAATGCACAAAATGCAAATGAATGCAAGCAACATATTTATTAACACTAATAAATCAATGAATCTAATTAACGAATGACCGCATTATTTAATTGCGTATAATATTATAAGTAAGTAAAAGAAATAATATCGTGTTATATATATAATAAAAACAAAATGTCGCATCGCATAATTCACAATAACAAATTTGTTTTTTAAAATGCGATAATATTATAAAATACGTTGATTTTTTTCTATATCACTTTATGATTGTGTGAGGAATCAAAAGCTAATGTAACGTAAATTTGCTGCAAGATGCAATAAATTTTCCGATGTCGTATTATCACTACGCGCGTACGAGCATTATATTCTGTAAAGTGACATATACATAACTCATTTGCTCTCAAACATTCCATGAGCGCTCGTAGATCTTTTGGTCTTCCGCTAATGCGGCCTAGGTGTTGTTGGAAGCATTCTATAGATAGCTACCTGCAAAGTTTTAGCGTTGCCGGTGCAACGGATAGAACGACCACACCCAAGAGTCCCTTCTCGCAGGCGAGTGATAAAAACGATGCGAGTTGGTTTAACTCTGTTCGCATTGTTCCTTTTGCGAATTCTCTAATTAACTCGGATGTTTTTATCAAGAAAAAGCAAAGAATAAAAATTTATATTCGTATAACACAAAATTTTTTATAATACAAAAAAACAACGAATTGGGATTTTATACACACATAAGAAAAAAAAATTTTATTTATATTTGATGAAATTTTTTTGCACTGCCACCATTATAAATCATTTTTATTAGAAATTAAAGATACATAACTTATTATAAAATACTGTTTTACTTTTTGCGTTTTTAATTGTAGTCTGTGTAGATCTTGCTGAAATGTAATTTTAAAATTGATTACTTCACGTTTTCAAAATGGAATACTGTTGCAAAAACATTTTATCATATAAATTCCGTTAATTACTTAATTTATGTAAAAGAGGATATTAATTTGTGAAATAAATACTAATGTTCAAAATTTAACATTAGAGATAAATATAATGAGGGTTTTTATTTATTTAGTTTGTTGTAAATAATATCATGAAATGGCATGAATGAAAAATATCTGATGAATGCAATTACACTTATTTTAATTAAATGTAATGAATTTCTCACGATTTTCAATCCAATAATTGTCTGATAATTAATTCTACAATCAATTTGTTTATTATTATGTCACTATATAATTAACGCGTGCGAGAAAAACATAATGCGCTTGAGTTTATTACGTTAGGAAATGAGTGTTTTCAATAACAATATTAAATAACAAACTAACAAAGTAATAAATTTGGATTAAATTATTGATTGCGACATATATCACATGATTCTTCCTTTTTCGTTAATAATTCGTTGTTTCAGAAAAATAATATTTCTCTCCTGTCTTTTACATCATGATTAAAATGCCAATTTCTCGCTCTTAATTTTGACGTGAATGCGACCGTAACAATTCATCGAGTTTGACAAGAGATGCTAATCATTGCGACTACTGAATAGCGTAATGGCAACAGTCTTCTCGAAGGACTTTGAATGAAAACTGCAATGGCAATGGAAGTGAGTCATCTTGGAGTAACAATCTTCTTAGCGTAACAATCTTCAAATAACGACGTGATACATTAAATCGTAGCGTACTAGCTCTGAAACTTTAGGAATGGCACGTTGAAGAGAAACTCGCGTAGCTCACGAGAAATTGCATCCCGTTACATGTCCGCGGCAGAACTTTACGCGACTGTAAGCGCGTTAGGCGATTAAACTGCTTCGCGTACGCTTTAGTCGAGAAACGTTTGTTATCCGAGAAAGACGTTATCTATCTAGGATGACCAAAAGATTCTTGGTCATCCACTTAAAGATGATCAAACGCCCTGATTTTTCCGGAGTTTCACCCCGTCTTTGATCGATTACACCTGAGAAATGTTTTCGGGCTACTCTCGATTCTACTATAAACGCTTTTTACATTTATATATAGATGTAATTAAAATATGTTACGCAATATTACTTTAATTTTTTTAATATACTTCTTATTAGAATGCTTTGATACATTTAAAAAAAAGAAAATATCAATAAATATCAATAAATTATATCAAATAATACTTTTGGAAAAAGCGATAAATCATTTTAACCATATGTTATAATTAAATAGGAAATAATTAAATATATATAGACTTAAATCGCGTTGTAGTAGAGCGCATAATTCATAATAAAATAATGTTTAGAATTAAATTATATATTAGAAGAATTACATAATTTTTCAATGTGCGAATAATACTTATTTAAATATAATTATAAATATAAATGACTCTGAATCGAATTGCTTTTGCGAAAACAACGTTCCTTGATTAATGTATATAAACGCAGAATGTCAGAAGTGTTCAATTATACTGACAATGAGTACAACGTAATTCCTGGTATAACCGAGATCAGATAATTAGGTATAGAGATGGGGAAAAAGATTTTGTAATTTCAATTAAAATGATTATTTGCTTTACGATTCTGAGTATTTATTATATATTTTAAACATTTTACTAGAACAACACAGGCTTTTACGGACATTTTCCAATTTTTTTAACTTTTCTTTTCATATATATATATATATAAATCTAA